GTTTCACATATTCATACCTCAAATAAGTACTTAAATATTCAAATAAAATACTGGTTTATAAAATCCGATTCAATTTTTAGTTATGAGTTTGATTATATATTTATATAGGTCAATTCTCTCTAATATTAGGAAGATTAAATACTGGCTGTTTCTGTCTTTGTCCAATAATCGCAGAACATAGAAATGTCGATATGTTCTTTACCAAATAATTAAAAAATAATAAATTTAAAAACAGATTTGAATCTATTGTTAAGTCTACTTGCGATTGATTTTCCCACATTTTAGATTTTATCATCATAAATCTAAAAAAAAATAATTATAGATATTAAAAAAGTAGAAATAAAAAAATTATGATACTTTAATTTTGAAGTTATTATCAAAAAAATAATAAAATATAGGAATGTCAATCTTAATTAAACTAAATAAAAAATTCAAATTTGTTTTAAGATTTCTTATCGTTTCATTGGATTAATCGATATTTTTGGCAAAAAATACATCTACATTTCTACGTTTGTATATATTAGACAAAAAAAGAAACAGTCGGTATCGAATCCTTTTAAAGCAAACAATACAAAATTAATTCTGCTGAACGCAAATTTTCTATGGTGTACATTGTAAGGAGACAATAATAATAACACATGCGATCTCTTAATACAGTATATAAATAAGACCAATTAAGGGATACAGGCCCCTTGTGCCCCCTTAAATAGGCTCTTGCATTAAAATATAAATTAAATATTTCCGTTGTCCATATATTTTACTAAGTGTTCACAATTTCTTATCACTTAAATTTAAAAATAAATGTTATACCTTTTGAAAAGTGTACTTACTACTTACTGACTAAGCATTAATATTTAATTTGGTGTAATAATAAAATCAATATATTGGTAGTCTACGTGGAAAGTTGTAATACAAAAACTGTAATAAATATTAATAGCATTTTGGAAAAATCGAAGTAAAAAGGGCGTAGTTAGAATTAGTCATTTCATTATTTTCTACTTTCATTATGAAGTGTACAAATATAAATGTCAAATATGTATATGTTCGACAAACGTAATATATATATAGATCATAATTCATCAATATATCATCAATGGGTTGGAACATATAAAATTGTATCTTATTAATTATTTTAGACGATTCTGATTGCTATAATAAGATTTGATAGTAGGAATACATATTATAGTTTATGATTATATCTGTGCTAAGTTAAATTGACAATATGCATAAGACTATATATCGAATAAATACAATTAACATTTTAAGTATCAACTCATGCAAATTATTGTAAGTTTAAAATAACTTATCAATTTATAACTTAAAAGTATTTTAAACTTGAAAATTAATTAAACATTTAAAATAACTTAGTTAAAATAAATGAAATGCACTTAATTTTATCAACTGGACCGCTGTGTCACTCAAAGCGGTGACTAAGTCTTCCGAAACGTCAACACTAAACAATGTCAAAATAAACAAGTACACCCGTCACCCACGATAGTTAGCTAGAATTGAATTTAAAAATAATTTGTCTTATATCAAAATTTCTAAGTTAATGTATACACAATATTAACTCAAGTTAATAAAAGAACAAAAATAACTCGCAAGCTTAAAAATTTAATTAACTCGTTCATTCCCAGCCTGGGTACATTGTCAATTATTGTGAAGGGCATCGAACCATTATGCCACTTAATAATTGTATAATATGTTCGCTACATTAACAATGACAATAATTCACGTACAATAAAATTGAGTTTTTAAACAAACTTTATAATATAAATTCTAAAAATATAGATTTAAAAATGAATTGGGTGTAAAAAATTTAAACTTTAAACATTTGAAGCATACATACTTACGTCGTCCTACCGACTTGTTCAAATTTTTAGTTAAAAAATATATAATATGTAGGTATGTTATATAATATATACTACCTACCAATACCAATTACCATACATTATTTTGCATCAACGTTGTGCATAGTATTATTTTATTACTACCATTACCGTACGTTTCCTTTCTGTTATATTAAACAATAAACATCCTAATCTTGAAAATCCTACCGGTATATTTAGGTATTATACGCGCTTATATTTTATAAATATTTAATGTTCAGTAGTCAATACAATACTATAATACTACGCGTATGTATGTATATATGATATAGTGCGATTGCACTACTCCGCGTTTATAGGTACCTAACATATATATATATGGGTATAAAAATATATGAACATATGAAATAACAACCAGGTACCTACTTAAAATCCACCGCTCTTCCATCAATTCAGTCATGTTGTGTAGGTATAACAGCATTATTATAAATTTTAATACATAATACGTACAATATAATGATTCCGATGATTATTCCACAACGGTGCGCACACGCCGCATCGCAGCCGGTCATAATTTTCACACTCCTTCGTCATCCGCGCGCGGTTACCACACAACGAAATATCATTATCATAACATTATATTTTGTATAGCAGGCATCACACAACAAACATTATTAGTTCTCTATTATTATGTAAAAATACGTTTTTTGTTCCGCACTTCAACTCGTATAGCAGATGCCTCGTGCCGAATGCCGATATCGTATAGATGTATAGTACGCCAGTACGACGACACTGATAAAATCGAGTGCGTGTATATTACAATATGGAAATAGGAGACGCAGATCGAAATAGAAAATCCGTCTCCACTAGCGTTAGGTTCCCAGTTTTTCGTCAAGATTTGATTCTATGTCCACTATACGGTATCACTGGTATCACTCATATTTTCCCAGTAGACTGAAAAATTTGAAAAAATGGTTTATTCCCTCTCCACCACGAAAAAGTCTTAAATCCACCACTAAGGTGTACGCCGAACGTGATTTATATCGAGTGATTCGTTCAACGCAAAGCACTCAATATTTCAAAAACTATCAACGTTTCAGAAATTTTTGTTTTCTATACTTTTAAGTCGTTAGAAAATAACTTTATCCCTAAAAAAAAAATAGATATATCTTTTTACCATTTCATTATTATCGTTTTAAATTATTTAAAAATGTTTTCTAGTGAGAATGTACATTTTAATTCCTTATTCCAAAACAGAATATTTATTGGGTACTTTGATGTATGCATTTTTGACGAATAATTTATGTGTTAACTGTTAAGTTTTTAAAGTTTAGATTAGCTGTGTATAGTATTACAGGGGTACCACGCTAAAATGTTAGTGCTTTACTCCGCTCATCAATACCTATTTACATATCTTATATGAGTCATAAGGCTAAAAAGTAAAAAGTAATAACTAATAGACTATAATACTTATCTAAAATCAAGTGTTTTCTTTTATTATGATTTATAATTGGGCGTGTGTAAAAGAAATACTTTCAAACACGTCAAGGTTTCCTTAAAAAAATATAGTGCCTCACGTTAAACGGATCGTTCGGAAGTACTCGTATTATATTATACAATAACAAAGTAATAATATGCACAGCCCAAAAAGTGCAAATCGTACCTAAAAAACAACGGTGTACTGTTCGAGTAGGTACAGAGAAATATAATATTATTGATGTATTGCAATCGGGTAGGTACTTTGTAGTACAAGACGTAGTGTCGCGAACTCCGTTTCGATTATCCCGACTATACTCGTCCACAGTACCTACTCGCCTTATGATATATAATAATAATATAAACTATGAAGTTATACATTATAATAATATGCACACACAAATCCAATCCTTAAACGAGTTAAACGTCGTCGTCGACGACGACGACGACGGTGGCGATGTGCATTGTGCATTCATTCTTGAATATTATTATTATTATTATTATTAATACTGTTATTGTCGTCGTCTGACGACTATTCTTTGTCCATTTGTCGTCGTTGACGACGGCGGAAACCCGCGTGTACGTACTGTACGTGCGTGTGTAGTACTTTACCTACTGTTGTCGTTGTTGTAGCGTACGGCTGTCGTGTCCCCGGCAAAATCCTGTCGCCAGCCGGTCAGACGGCTAGGTTAGCCGCTTTTCCCCACCCCCTCGCCCAAACTCGGCCCGCCCCTTATTAGAGCACCCGAACGCTGTCGCCGTTTCGGGATACGGGTAACGGTCAACGGACCCGACGACGACGGTCGAGAAGTAAAAAGTACTAAAAACCAACAGGAGTCGGCGGCAGCGGCGGCGGTGGCGGCGACGACGGCGGCGGCGTCGGTTTTTGGAGTGGTGTGTGTGTGCCGTGTGGTGGTGATGCAACAGCAAATGGCTCGGCGGCGGCGGCGGTGGCAGTACGTAGGCGGCGTGGCGGCGGTGATCGTTGTCGGGAGGGGGGGAGAGGGGTGAAAGGGTAGCGCTGCAACCGACCGGCCGGGACGCCGCCGCCGCCGCCCAAGATTAATAAAACGTTCACACTCACTCGCGCTGGCTCGTGTGCGTGCGCCTGCTACCGCCGCTGCCGCCGTATTGTTGATAACGCGAGAGTCGCGGACCGTGTTTATTATGTGTGCGGCGTGATTAGCTGTTGGTCTCCCGTCGTTTCCCGCAGCCGTCCGGCACGCACACCACGCACAACAACGAAATTATAATAATACCCGTAGTTTACCGCGGTCTGTCGTCGGTCTCCCATTCCGATTTTTAGCCCTAGCAGTATCCGCGGCTCTTTATTTTACTATTCTTCCCGTTCTGTACGCCTGTTTTTTTATCAGAAACTGTTTCTACCGCGACGTTTCTTCTTCTCGTTTTGTTTCATTTTTGTTTCTTTTTTTTTTTTCTCGTAATTATTTTTTATTTTTACCAACCGTCGTGTTCACCCCCCCCCCAACCCCAACCACAGGACTCTGATGTACCGCCGCAACGTCAACCGCTCGCTGTAAAGACGCCTCCCCGCACGTCGGCCGTGTATTCATATGCACCGTGACGTCGTGTAGAAGACAGCGACCGACGAGACGACCAACAGCCGCCAGACAACCGGTGTACACGGTTGTTAGACTTCACATCTGCCAGTAGGCCGTCGTCGTCGTACCGAATATGGCCGAGAAATGTGTCAAGACGCCGGCCACCGGCAATCGGCCAGTGCCGATGAAATTGTTTGCCACCTGGGAAGTTGACCGCACACCGTCCAACTGTGTACCCAGGTAATTGAACAACAAATTCTACCTCAAGTGTATTGTGTCAGTATGTAATATTAATAATCTGCAATGCTAGCACACTCAAAGGTATAAAAGTATCAGTTATCTTAGCTTTTAAATGGAAAAATGTATTGTTGTATTTGTAGGTAACTACATACATTTCTGTTTTTGATGTGACTGTTTATCATATGATATTATGCTTTCTAATGTTTGGAATGTTGTTGCTAAAAAAAACATTATTCATTTCTATTTTACATAGAATGTCTTATTGTAATATAAACAGTTGAAAGTATGATTTAAGTACATCACGACAACAATGCTTACCTATTACTTATTTTTTAAAAATTCAAGGTACCTTCTATGCATAATATTATGAATTTATAACTAATACTTGTAAATTATTATTAATAGGTTATTTGTTGCTTTTGGGTGTTAATTAATGTGGTAACTTTTTATATTTTAAGATTTCTAGTGACTATTGTTATACTATTAAAATTTGATAAATAAATATAATTATAACATTTTCATTTAATTTTTTTCTTTGTTAGCCCATTACTTATTACGGTAGTCACTAGTCACATAAAAAATTACTTGTGATTCAATAATGAATTACAAGTCCCTTGAATATGATTTAATAGCTTATGATCAATTCTTAAATTTTAGTGAATCGTTCAATTTATCAATTTTTTTATGAAACAAATTATGAATTTAAATTTTACATAATGTTAATTATTAATAGATAATTATTCAAAATAAATTCATCACATATTATAAGTATTTAATGTTTGATGATAAATTTGAACAGAATTTATAAATATTAAATTATGTGATATACCTACCTAATAAAAGAATCATTAATATATTATGACACAATCAATTTTTTATGTGCTATAATTGTTTTAAGATTAAATTCCTGATTATCATTTAATGATAATATTGTTTTATTTTAATGTTAGCTTCATTAATTTTGAATTACTGTTAGACTTTAATATTTAATCACAAAATCATTTAGGTAGGTTTTAAATAATGTAAGACAAACTATTTGAATACTTTATTTTTGACTGATAATTTTAGTTATTATGTATGAAATTAATAATTGTTTAAATGGGCAATTTATTTTCAATGTAAATACCTAATAATCTATATAAATAAAGATACTCCATAAATGTCATAAGCATTAATCTTAAATTATGTTTTTTTTTTTCAATTTATGGAATTAATTACAATTATTATACTATAATGTAGGCAATAAAAATTATCTATTTTTCTGTGCTCAATAATGTACCTACTTAAGTAATTTCAAACAAATACATTATGTTTGTTAATTGATATTATCTAGTCCATAGCTGTATTTCTCTATGAACTACAATATTTTATTCATTTAAACAGTGTTTTTAAAATTAATCACAAATAAATGTTTTTCAAAAATAAATTTCTAAGATATTATTTAATATGATTATTTAATTTATATTACCAAGATTCCTTTATATACTTAAAATTCTTAAATTAAATAATTAAAAAAAAAAATCTGATTGATTTTATTACTAAAATAGAAGAACTTATAGCACTAAAAATAATAGACATCTCCTTTGACATCTATTTATTTATAATTTTGGCATTGTTATTTCACTGTTTTGTTGGTTTTATCTATATAATTTGTTGTAATAATAAAATTAAATAGTAAGTTATATTGATTTTACTTAAAACTTTTGAGTTTAGCTTAAAATTCTGTTATTTTAATGAGATATTGTTATTTTAATTGATTAAAAAAAAAAAAAAATTATGATATTGATAATTAATTGTGTATTTAATTAACTATTTTGTACACATTTAATTAAAATATATTTCTTAATTTTTTTTAATATAGTTATACTATTAGATATGATAAAACTATTACAATACTAATTTCACTATCGATGTTATTAAATATGTTATATATTTGTGTGAATTTATCATTGTTAGGGATGTGATAAATGATTAAATTGTAAGTTATGCATACTATGTATGACCTTTCAATGAATAATTATAGAAACTGCTATTGATATAAAATGATGTATGGTATTAAAAATAAAAGTTTATACTATTATAGTATCATGACACATAACCAATTGCCTATAAACCAATAATAATTTATGGTAATGCTCTACTTTTATCAAATTCAGCGTATTAAAGTAGTATAAAAATATTATCATTAAATATTTTCATTGGTATCTATAGTACCTATATATTTTATATAATACTGTATAGAATAATTTTGGGGATTCTGAAACAATTAATTAATAAATAGAAATCCTTTTTAAACATTTTATAAAAAAAAAAAAATAAATAATCAAGAATAAAATATTTAAAGTATTAAGTAATTTTAAAATTATTTAAAATGGTATTTATGAATTTTTAAATTAACTTAGATTATTAATAGTTTTTCTTTTGTAAATTTCTAAAAACTTATTTAAATTTTTAATTATAAAAATACCACAATACTTCAAGGTGAACAATGTAAGTTTCTAACTTTGTATATTTTTATTTTAAAATTATAAATAATCGTCATTAAAATAATATTAATATTTTTTTTCTTAGAAATAAAAGCTGGTGAATATTATTGTAAAATTAAAAATTAACAGTGTGCTTTTCAATTTTACTCAAAATAATAATTTTATTATCATATAGCAATTATTATATTATATTATATTATATATTTGTTTATCAGTGTCTATTGAAATGAGTATAAAATATTTCATTTATATAATTAAATTTTTTAATTGTTTTCTTAGTTTTTGAATCGATTGTATTTTATCTGAATTGAAAAATAAATTATTAACAAACTATTAAGTTGTCACTTGTCCTATATTATAACAATTAGCATAAAACAAAATTAAAGGAGATAATATAAAAATTAAAATAAATAATAAATGAAAAAAAAATTTTTTTTTAATTAAAATATTTAATGCCATAACATACATAATACATATAAGTAGGTAGAACATTATTTATATTTCTTTTAACCATGTAAAATTTTAAATGTAGAAAACTGGCTGATTGCCAGAAGAAGCATGTTTTTGTTTTTGTTATTGTAAATTTATTTTATTTATTTTATTTTAAGCACAGCACATTGTTTTATTTTTAGTTCAGTAAAATTTGGCTACATTTTAATAGAAATTCTAAAACGTTTTAATTTGCTTAAATAGTTGTTGATATTATTCTAAATTTTATTGATGATTTGAAAAATAATATCAATAATATGAAAATAATATGTATATCAGTATTTATAATGCGTATAAATCTTATAAAACTACATAAATGATAAAAATAAAACTATTAAGTTTAAATTAATTTAAATTCTGTTGTCATATTTTAAATATTTAAATATACTTTTATAATAGACTAAAAATAATAGTTTTTTAATAGTATTTGAATAAATAAACAACATATTTTTGTTTATAACTGTAGGTATGTCTGTACAATGTACATATCAATTTAAATGTTTATTCATTTTTCTAAATATTTATAAAGGTAAACATTTTATTTCTGAAATTCGAATTGTACATAGAATACGTATCTCTATTACTCCGGAAGTCTGGATATCTTCCCTCTGAAATAAAAAAAAAAATGGGTGTGTTACAGCAAGAGTGGATGTTTTTAAAGTCAACACTTTAATAGTAATAATAATCTATCCGTACAAAAAACGATTGTAAATAGAGTTTGACTAAATCAAAAATGGTTACCCTGTTGTTAAAAATAAATATTAGAATTAGAATACAATCATAATTTTTCAAATAAATGTTCCCAAATATAAAAATACTTTAAATTCTGAACAAAATAAAAAGTAATAAGATTTTGATTTTCAGTTATCGTTTTATCAAAAAAAATGGAGCCCTCTATAAGTTTCAAGTATTGGTAACTATCGAATTTAACCATATCTTGAAAAGGTAATTTTTCGATGTTCTCGGTAGTTTATCTAAACGTAAAATAATGAATTATAACTTTAAAATAATTAATAGCAATTCAAAAATTTTAGTTAAACCAATTATTTCTAAAAAAAATTGTTCATTTTACTTTTAAATATATAATAATAATAATAATAATAATAATGTTAAACTGAATCGCATGAAGTAAACTAGGTACTTATAAACACCAAGCGTCCATTCCGAATTGTTTTTTAAATTTAATTCCTATCTTATAATTTTAGTATTTAATACTAAAAACGTATAATTTGAAAAAAATCTAGCAACAATTGTTTGAAAATCCAACAATATCAAAGAAGAGGAATTTAAATTTTCGAGCTCTATGTTTTTTCTTTTGTGTTTGATGTATTTAAACTTGGGTCCCCATTACCCATAACTATTAATGTATTCATAAATTATAATCTATATGATTAATGATTATCATAAGTTATCATAGCTTTATGATTACTGCATTTACCTTAAAAAGAAATTTAGTTATTAAAACTTTTTAAAAAAACGTATTTTATTATTAATTATTGCATTACCTATACTCATATTTAAAATAATATGTTAACTAGTACCTACTTAACATTAATAAAATTAATATTCCTTATTAATTAAATTATATCGTGATGTAATAATTTGTGTCAAATACAATGTTTCACAATTCTTTTTCCTCGTACGAGTAACAACCTCTTAAAAAACAATTGAATTAAGATACGTGATTTGAACACTATAGGCGAGTGTCCGTGACATTTTCATAACATTTTCCGCGAGGAAACCAAATTAACACAACTAATGTTTATAGAACATGTATATACTTCAATAAAGATAAACTAAGGGTTAAGTTATAATTTATAGCTATAATAATATGTTATTAAAATTTAAAATTATAAAAAATATTCGAATAGGTACCAAACGGGATGTGAACACATACGAATGAATAAATTCACTTAAAAAATGTACATATAAGAAAAATTAATTCTTAATCCACAAAACAGAAAGTTAGGTTTTATTTTATATTAGTTGAAAAATGATACTTTTCAACTTTTGTCTTTATATGGC